GGGAAAGGGGCGGCTTCTTATCGTCCCAGATTGGCGTCCCGTGGGGGAAAGGGGCGGCTTCTTATCGTCCCAGATTGGCGTCCCGTGGGGGAAAGGGGCGGCTTCTTATCGTCCCAGATTGGCGTCCCGTGGGGGCAAAGTGTTAATAGCAACCCAAATAAGAGCAACATCCGCCTAACAGCAACCTCAACTTGCGTAACAGAATTTTCCTGCATACAAAAGCAACCCCCTTTAATAGCAACCTTTTCTTTAAACAGCAACCTTTGTTGCCATTAATTGCTTCACCAAATGTTCAAACCATTCAAAAACAGTGTACTTACTTACTTACTTACTACCCATTACGCCATCTGCACAAACAAAAATGGACTATAGTTTCTGTGTGCTTACATCCCTCCACTCTTGTTGACCTCCTCCACAACACCCACTCGGCGGGCTAAAAATACACAACACTGAGTACAGGAGCTCAGCTCCCACCCTCTTGCCATGAGCTACTTTCCTTCAAGTCTGGCGGCTGAGGGGAAAAGTCTAGCCCACTGAGAAGAACATTACCGCCCCACCGAGATCAGTGTAGTTCAGTTTTAGTAAGTGTTTTACAGCACTTGCAACACAATAAGGTTGTATAAGTGCCGAAGATTAGAGGTGTTATAAGAGAGTAACAAACACACCAAAAAAAGGAGGAGAGATGTTTGATATGAAAGAAGAAGCAAACCACACCAGAGCACCCGCCAACCACACGTGGAATCAGTTTAAGTTTAGTATTTGTAAGAGTTTTACCGTACTTCCAAAATAAATAAGTCATACAAATTTAGTTTTTTAGTTTTAGTAGAGCGCCCTCATACAAATGCCAAAGATTAGAGGTGCTGCTTGAGAGTAACATACACAAAAAAAGAAGAAAAAAAGAGGGGACATAAAGACAGCAGACGTTTACTCTCTCTGGTAAGTGTTTTACAGCGCTCGCAACTGCATACTAATATAAGGTCATATAAACGCATGTAACAGATGTGTGATAGGAAAGAAAGAGCAAACCACATACATACATCACAGAGCAGCCGCCAACCACCCAGAGCGGAGAACAGGCACTGACCTTTTTCTCCCCGGACCCGTCTTCGTTGGCCTCGAGAACTCTGAGGGCTTGCTGGAGCTCCTTGCGTCTCTGCTCCAGCTCCAGCTCTTTCTTTGACTCTAGCTCTGAGGGCGGTGAACACACATGGGTCAGGGAGGGGGAGGGATAGAGGGAGGTGGAAGTGAGGGAGTGGGAAGACAGGGAGGTGGAAGAGAGGGGGTGGGAGGGGGATAGGTGGAGGGAGGGAGGGAGAGAGAGAGAGAGAGAGAGAGAGAGAGAGAGGGGGGGGAGGGAGGGAGAGGGAGGGAGGGAGGGAGAGAGAGAGAGAGAGAGAGAGAGAGAGAGAGAGAGAGAGAGAGAGAGAGAGAGAGAGAGAGTGAGAGAGAGTGAAAGAGAGAGAGATAAAGAGAACACAAGCTCTAGCTCTTTCTTTGACTCCAGCTGTGTAGGAGAGAGGTAGGGAGAGAGTGATATAGGGAGGGAGGGATAGAAAGGGAGAGAGGGAGGGACAAAGAGAAAGTATCTTATCTTATCCTATCTAGTCCTGTCCTATCTCATCTAGTCCTGTCCTATCTATCTTTTCTTATCTTATCCTATCTCTAGAAACGGAGAGCTTAATCTGCAGCTTGCACAGTCAGTATGCTTCCCACGAAGCCAAGAACACTTCTGAGAGTTCAAGGATTTGCTGGGGCAAAAATATAGACTGTAGAGTGTACAGAGCTTTCTGTTGGGGCAAAGATAAACACAATATGTAAGGCAGCGTGGTGGAATCAGGCTCTCGTCAATTTTTGGGCATGTAGAGTTATTGATATCAACTTAAAGCTTGTTCACTTGCCTTTATTTGGATGGAAAAAATATCCATTTATCTTGAATACAAGTCGAGATATTTGCAAATGAAGGAGGTGGGGGTCACCTGTTTTTAGAGGTAAAATTAATGAGAAAATGGCAGCCAAAGGTTAGTTATTTCCTTCGCTTCAGAGTCCGTGGTAACTGAACATTTACATTTTCTGTGCCTTTAATCAACGTTTTTCAGAAAAATCCACACAGAAATGAGTTCTTTAATTGGCATGAAAGGTGTTCAGCCAAAAAACAAAAATTTGATAAAAATTCACAAACCTGCGGAAACATGCAAGTTTCTTCACTTTGATTATTTTGACGACAGCCTGATTCCACCACGCTGCCTCACATATAAATTAAACGTTATTTTTTAGTATTATTTATATTACCCTGTATCACTTATTCGAAATCACTTTCTCCATCCTTTACTCTCTCTCCCTCATTTACTCTCTCTCTCTCTCCCTGACTCACTCCCTCCCTCCCTCCCTCTCTCTATCACACTTTTCCCTTCCTCTCTCCCTCCTCCCTCACTTGTGAGTGCAAGCATACTATTATATTTTATGGTTATGGTTATGTGCACAGATGTGTGTGGAAGAGAGGATGTTTGAGGGAAGATTGTGTGTGTGTATACGAGTGTGCACATGTGCGTGCGTATGCATGTGTGTGCATGTTTGTGTGTGTGTGTGTGTGTGTGCGTGTGTGTGTGTTCATGTGTATGTGTGTGCGTATGTGTATGTGAAGAAACACCAAACCAATGAGCCAGGATCTAGAGAATAACGATGTACCTTATTCTTATCTCTTATGTAATCTATCCTAGCTTATCTTATGGATGGATGGATGGATGGATGGATGGATGGATGGATGGATGGATGGATGGATGGATAGATAGATAGATAGACTGATAGACAAATAGATAGACAGATAGATAGACAGATAGATAGATAGCATTTGTATAGCGCAAATCCCCGCTCAATGCGCTTCACAATCTATACTTTAGTTTTAGTAGAGGTTTTACGGCGCTCGAAACTGCATAAGGTCATATGAGCCCCAGAAGATTAGAGGTGTTACAAAAGAGTAACAAATATAAAAAAGAAGAAGGGGAGATAAGGACGATAGATGTTTGATAGGAAAGAAGAAGCAAACTACCCCAGAGCACCCGTCAACCACCCACCAATCTATACTACTACCCCAGCAGACCTGAGAGCATTCTGAAACAACCTCAACTTCCTGGGAAGCATATAGGGCAAGCAGCCATTAACAGACGCTAAAACACTAACATACTGACAAGATCTTTCGCTGTCTATGGCCGGGTACCCATTTCCACCTGGGAGAAGTGAGGAAAATTTGTGTAAAGTGCCTTTCCCAAGGGCACAACGTCGGGCCCGCAGCTCAAACCCTCGAACTCGCAACCTCGCAATTACGAGTCCGGTAGCTTAACCACTAGGCCGACATCTTATCTAACATTTCACAATAAGCTTACTGTCCACAGCCCAACTGTCGGAGTCCTCGGCCGAGTCATCGTCACTTCCGCCACCGCCCCCGGCCTTCCTCACCACCACCTGCGACCGCAGCTTGGTGTCCTTCTCTTTGCTCCCACCTTGACCTTTGAACTTGAGCTTCAGGTTGTCGGGGCTTTTGTCTCCGTCCCTGCGGAGAACCACGGTTGTATTTTAGGGGAAGAGAATATTACATACTGGTTGGCAGCTATGCACATGATTAGATAGGGTAGGATCGGGATGAAAACTACCTTTTTTCCTCATCATTTGGAAAATACCATGACACAATTACTCACTTTCTACCATACACTCAAAAAGCATGCATGGACGCTAAAGAGGTTATATTTAGTGCTAGAGTTCGTGGCAGCAATGTCCCCCCACATAAACCAATGGGGGCTGCGTGTGCCCACTCTGGGACGCTGAACCTAAAGGGCAAGCAAGACATGTGCAGTTCAACAGACGGGTGAGTACTTTTCAAGACTCACACAGAGGCGTCTCGGCAGTCTAAGGATGAAATCTACAAGCTTGCACTGAAATATGTGGGTACGGTGGTGTTTAATATGCGAGAGCTCATGGGGAGCGGGGTCGGGGCTCAGATTGTTTATGTAAATGGGGGCACCCTGGCCATGCCGATGAGGGTAAGAAGGCCCCCATGTCCGACACATGTGACACCACTGCTGCGAGCTCTAGTATTATATATATAATCTCTTTGACAGACGCACTAAAACATTTTTTCAGAGTGCGACACTAGCACCCCTTAGCAGATTTTCAATGAATAAAAAAAAGCCCCACTTGAGAACAGCGTTCCAAAGCAACTTATTTATAGACTCCTGTTTTTGTAAGAGTTTTAAGGCACTTGGAACACAATTAGGTCACATAAGTGAGGAAGATTATAGGTGTTACAAGAGGGTAACAAACACAAAAAAGGAAAAGAGGAATATGGATAATAGATGTTTGATAGGAAAGAAGGAGCAAACCACACTAGAGCACCCATCAACCACCCACATATGAGCTCCAAACCTGTCTAGATCTTGCCACAGGCAAACCGAAGCTTATGGCTTTATGGAAACTATGAAAAGTGCTTACTCACAATTCCCAAGACTTCATCTAGCTGAAAATACCTAGTAATCCTTGTACTATTGTACAGGTTCAGAGCACAGAGGGAGCACACCCTCTAGCAGTGCAGGACACACACAGCCCTGTTTAGTTTAGTTTTAGTAAGAGTTTTACGGCACTTGCAACACAATAAGGTCATATAAGTGCCAAAGATTAGAGTTTAGTTACAGTAGAGGTTTTACAGCGCTCGCAACTGCAGAAGGTCATATGAGCGTCAGAAGATTAGAGGTGTTACAACAGAGTAACAAACAAAAAAAAAGAAGAAGGGGAGATAAGGACGATAGATGTTTGATAGGAAAGAAGATTAGAGGTGTTAC